ATTTTCATTGAACATAAAATTTTCAATACATCAAATAACCAAATTTCACAGATAAGGAATATCCTTAACTCATTCTCTATTTCTTTCAAAATATATGTTAACTTCTAGCCATGATCTAGTGCTGAGTTGTTAATCTGCTTCAAATATCTTGCAAGGCTAGCTAAATCGACTAATTTGTGGGCCACCTTGCTTGTTTAAGTAATAGCTTACTTCATTTCATTTATCTTTTTCCTCACTCTTATGTTTCAAATCCCCAAGATATAAAAATTATTGTTTATCTTTTCTTGTGAGAAACTCATTATTGTTATAAAGTTCTCGTACAAAATCTTCATAATCATCTACAATATTTTCAACGTCTTATTCTTGGTTTTACTGGCTTCTAGTTCAACATCATCCTCACGCTTGTGCTTTTGATATTAAGCTTATAAATTGGTTATAAATATACTCAACATCTCATTTTTGGCTTGATATCTCCCTAGATAGCACCTGGCTATATTGCGTCGACTTTCAACAATTTATAGTTCGTGAGAGAACTTCTAAGCTCAATCGTCATGTACTTTACAATTTATTTTCAATTGTTTAGTTTTTTTAATTTAGTGACTTATTTTGCTCATTCCCTTGCAACACTACCTAAACAAATATTCTTAAAAGCTTGGTTGATTCTCTGAAAACCATCTTACATGGCGTTTAACTCTATTCTTATATCATCTCTTTCATTATTGAATTGACAGACTTGGGCTTAGTACTTCTATAGACAATCTTCATCTTAGATGTCCCTATTAGTACCTTTATCCTTGAACACACTTGGCTCCATCTTTGCTGGAAAATCAATCACTAAACTAGGTTGACCTATTATCTTAAACTCTAATACTCCATGCTCTACAAGGTGTTGGATTTGATACTTAAAGGAGGTGTGATTCTCGATTGAATGCACTTGAGATCCACCATGATATTAACAATGAACATTGACATCATATCAATTTGGATATGGAGGCTGCCAAGGTTTCACATAGTGTAGGATCACTTATCGGCCTTTTAATAACTTTTCATATAGTTCTCTACATGATATAGAAATATAATCAAAATGAGGACCACTACCACCTGATCATTTTCCATCATATGAATGCGACTCAGTTGAGTGGAGATTAACTTTTAAAACTTTTTTCAAGTATTGAACTACTACAGATGTCACCATTTCCCTAGTCTCCATAGATAGCTTGTTGATGCAGACGATGATTGTGCATGATTCCTCAAGTTTGCTAGAAACATCGTGTTTTAAAGTATGCCCTTGTACGTCTAATATCATAGGATTGTTTCCATCAATCTCTTTCTCTTCTCATGCAGAAGATCGTTTTTGTCTAGCTAAAAAATATTTTATCCATCATCTTGGACTTTTTCTCTCTTAATGTAATGTCCCAAAATTTGGGTCGATAGTTGGGTTAGTTTCCGAATATTCTATAGAAATATTAATATTGAAATTTTTTATTTATAAATATTTTCTAAAATGATTTAAATGGTTTAAATTATTAATTTCTATTTTTGAAAATTTATAATTTATTTTAAAAAATGACTAAATTAAATGAATTGGAAATTATGATTTTAGTGAATAATTTGTAAAGAGATCACAAATCAAAATCTATGAAGCTAATTTTACCAAGGCTTGTGTTTAGTGTTTTTCAATCCAATTTTAACCATATCTTAATCACCTTTTTGCTAATTTTCCATCTAGATTTATTCTCTTAATATTTGTTCAATTTATTTATAATTGTCACTAATCGTTCCTTTTATTTTCTTTCTCCCAAACACTATCGTATCATTTTCTCTCAAAAATTCTCTCATATCTATCTCATGGTTGAAACACTTTTCCTCATTTCATACTCCTTTGTCATTGGTTTTTGTTCCTTTCTTCTTGATTTTTTTCTCCAATCAAGATTGTTTCTTCCCATTTTCTCTTTTCCATTTTTCCTTGATTTCTTTTGTGTTGCAATTGTTGATGTTCGTCCTCTTTTCCATAAAGATAATTCTCTTTTACATGGTTCCTTTTTTGGTTAATTGATTAATGATCCAATGTGATTGATGAATTTAATAAACAAATCTTTTAAAGAGGAGTTTGTAAATTAAACTTGATTTTTGGAGGTATTTAATGTGCTATTTTTATTGATCACTTTTCAAAGTTTTATTATATTGATTAAGTTTTTTTTTGATATTATTGTCATACTAAATAAGTTTTTCAATATCATTTGATTTGGATATTGATTTCTTTAAAACAATCTTGATTTTGGTGTTTTCGAGAATCTTAGAATTAGAGTTAATTAAGGTTAATTATGAGGTTTTAGTTGAGTTTAGTTGTTGATACTAGTTGTCCTTGATCTTATATTGTTGAGGATGAGTAGTGTCGATTGGATTGGAAGCTTGGAGAGTCGTTTTGGTAAAGTTTTTAAAAATTTCGTTCTATTTTGGAAATATAAAATTCTGGTCTATTTTGGACGTGTTCTTGATGTATTATTTTTCTGTCCAAGGTGTTTGATGTGTTGGAGAAAATTGGTGCATCATGTTTTTGTGAACAAGTGTTTGATTTCTATTTAGGTTAGTGGACAACGAATGTGAGTGACTTTCATTCCTAGTGGATGAATATGTTTAAGGTTAGAAGAAGGTGTAGTTTAGATGTTCTCTTAGTTTGAACTCTGTTATAGATGAATCTTTATTGATTCACATGATTGAAATGAAATGTGATATGAAATTTAGACATGTATTGTGAATTGTGTACGTGTTTCAATTAATGCATAGTGGTTTTAAAAGTGAATTTGAAAGTGTACATATAAGTGAAAGTGTGTAAAAGTGAAAAAATTCATGGATGAGTGAGCATCTCATTGTCCATACGAGTTTTATTATGACAATCATATCCTATGAGTGTTTCAAAGTGTATTTTGAAAGTGTAAATGTGAAAACTATGCATCATTTAATAACCACACTTGTGTACTTGGATTTATTGTCTATTTGTTCTTAACGTGACATTTGGATATGAAATGCAAGCTTAGGAAAGAGCACTCTATGTGTTTTGTATATGTGTAAATGATATTAAGTTATACGGGGAAAGGTTGGTGCGTTGAGCATTGCTTCGAGAAGTTCATGGGGTAAGGTTGGTTTGTTGAGTTTAATTTAAAAGTTATGGATTTTGGACCTAAGCGAGTCCACATATTAAAGGAAGTTTTATGGAGTCTGTTTATCCAATGAGTGAGTTGTGTTCCGAACAAATAGTCCATTGATCCTTAATTAAAACAATGCGTGCATTGTCTATGACTTGCCAATAGGTAATTGTGCATGAGTTTATGTGTTTGTTGTTGGACATATGATGATAAATGGCATGTGTATATTATGGATTTTGTGTGCATTTAGGATGCAATATGTGAGGATAAAAGCATAACGTGATGGTATGAATGTTGAGGTAAAAACAAGTGAGGAGTAATTACATATAGGGCTTTCCTTTAGCTTTGGAATATACATTGCTTAGAATGTTAGTTGTTCAATGGGCTTTTTAGCTCACACTAAATGTTTAACATTTTTTAGAGGGTTAGTAGCCGAGTTAGAGGCAAGGAGAAAGCATCTGGAGTGGTCAAGTAAGGCATTACGAAATAAAGTTTATGTGGTTTAAATCCATATAGTGACAATATGGGAATCATTTCGAAACTTAGACTATTATTGATATGTTGATTCATAATAAGTTTAGCATGAAGAATGGTCTATTGGTTTTGTGTTGGATTTTACTAATTGGTTTGATTTGTTGATTTGGAGTGTTAAACTAAAGTTATTGGGTGAATTGAACATCAAATTAGCCAAATGTTGATTTGTGCCCTAAATAAGTTATTGGTGTCTTTAGACAAGTAACATTAAGTGAACTAAATGTGTTAGACACATAGGGTGCATGAAATGACCCGAAATGCATAATTGAACTAGGTGACTTGTTTTAAAAGTGAACTTGTATGCAATATTTGACTTTTGATGCAAGGTTTTTTTATGATAAGGTGCCTTGTGTTACAAAGAATGTTACAAGGGTATTTTGACATGTATGATGTGGTATGATAATGTCAAAACATGTATCTAGTCCCTATGATCAATTAGGTGGAAGTTTGGTAACTCATTTATGAGTGTTCTTTAGAATTTTACACTTTTCCAAAAAAAAAGGATCGATCCCTTAGAGGAAAAGATCAATCCCTTGGCCAGAAGAATCGATCCCAAACTCAGTGTTTTAAAAAAGGACCAGTCCCACATGAAAATTATCGATCCCTTCGATGTGTGTTCGATGAGAAATGGTAAAATTACATTTATTAAAGGCCCTAAGTATCCCTAAGTCTTAGTTTGACCCCATGATGTTTACATAAGTTCAAAAGCGTTTAGAAATTTATTTGCTAATTAATGTAAAGATTTCATTAACTCCTCAATTTAAAGTCAAAGATGCTGATATCTTGGCAGCCTTTCGAGTATCTCCTCAACCTAGAGTTCTGCCTGAGGAAGTAGGGGTCGCGGTAGCTGCTGAATTTTCTACTGGTACATGGACAACTGTGTGTACCGATGGGCTTACCAGCCTTGATCGTTACAAAGGGAGATGCTACCATATTGATCCAATTCCTGGAGAAGTCGATCAATATATATGTTATGTCGCTTACCCCTTAGACCTTTTTGAAGAAGGTTTTGTTACTAACATGTTTACTTCCATTGTGGGTAATGTATTTGGGTTCAAAGCCCTGCACGCTCTACGTCTAGAGGATTTGCGAATCCTTATTGCTTAAATTAATACTTTCTAAGGCCTACCTCATGACATCCAGGTTGAAAGAAATAAATTGAACAAGTATTGTCACCCCTATTAGGATGTACCATTAAACCTAAATTGGGGTTATCTATTAAGAACTACGGTAGAGGAGTTTATGAATGTAGACGTGGCAGACTTGATTTTACCAAAGATAGTGAGAATGTGAATTCCCAACCATTTTATGCACTGGAGAGACCGTTTCTTATTTTGTCCTGAAGCAATTTATAAAGCACAGGCTAAAACAGGTGAAATCAAAGGGCATTACTTGAATGCTACTGCGGGTACATGTGAAGAAATGATAAAATGGCCATGTGTTCCAGAGACTTGGGAGTTCCTATCGTAATGTATGACTACTTAACAGGTGGGTTCACTGCAAATACTAGCTTGGCTCATTATTACCGAGATAACGGTATACTTCTTCACATCCACCGCGCAATGCACGCAGTTATTGATAGACAGAAGAATCATGGTACACACTTTCATGTACTAGCTAAAGCTTTACTTATGTCTGGTGGAGATCATATTCACGCTGGTACAATAGTAGGTAAACTTGAAGGAGAAAGGGAAATAAGTTTGGGCTTTGTTAATTTATTACGTTATGATTTTATTAAACAAGATTCAAGCTGTTGTATTTATTTCACTCATGATTGGGTTTCTCTACCAGGTGTTCTGCCCGTAGCTTCGGGGGGTATTCACATTTCGTATATGTCTGGTTTGGTGGAGATCTTTGGAGATGATTATGTAGTACAATTCGGTGGAGGAACTTTAGGACACCCTCGGGGAAATGCACCGAGTGTCATAGCAAATCGAGTAGCTTTAGAAGCATGTGTGCAATCTCGTAATGAGGGACGTGACCTTACAACCAAGGGTGCTAAAATTATCTGCGAGGCTAGCAAATGGAGTCCTGAACTAGCTACTGCTTGTGAAGTATGGAAGGAGATCACATTTGACTTCAAACCAGTGGATACTTTAGATAAAGAAGATAAAGAAAAATGATAAAAAGAAAAATTGACTTCAAAGCAATGGATACTTTGTAATCTAGTAATTATTGTCCGTTTGTTGAATTGCAATTAAACTCAGCCCAATCTTTTACTAAAAGGATTGAGCCGAACCTATTATCTTGTTTATATTTTTTATAGATATATTTTTATCTTGATATATCTTAAATACAAAAAAAAAAGACTAAACACAACACAATTTTTCTCCTAGGTCCATAATTAATCTTATGTATGTGTATGGATCCTTAGGATTGGTGTATTATTTTCTATCCTATATCCCATCGTTTCGATTCATGGATCGAGCCAAGTATCAAAACTTCTTCTACCCATCCTGTAAGTTGTCCTTTTGGTTCTGTGTTGGAATAGAAAATTATTCTATTGTATTAGTAGACGAGATTTTACGAAACATTGTATTGTATTAGTAGTAGATATTTCACGAAAAAGGGTCTTGATGGGAGAAAAATTTCTTTTTTCAAAATTTTCAGTGCGAATTTTACACAACATGGGGAAATCACTATTTCGAATTAAAAATTGATATTTCTAATTGAAAAGAAAATATAGCTCTATCATATATAATGAACTACTACTCCAGGTTCTCACAAAAGAGAATCATTTCCTTCAACATTCAATCATTGTTCGTTAATAACCCTAGTGATTGTATCTAGTATTCGTATTATGATAGGAAATAAAATATTCAGTTGATTTTTCATCGAATGACTACTCATCTATTGTACTTCATGTAAATAGAGGCAAGAAAGTTCTATGGAAAAAATCATGGTTCAATTTGATCATGTCTAAGGTGGGATTAGAATAGATATGTGGGCTAAGTAAATCAGTGGATAACCTTGGTCCTATTGAAAATACTAGTGTAAATAAAGACCCGACTAGAAATGATAAAGATAAAAAACATTCATGGTTGTAGTGACAACTCTAGTTATTACAGTAAGGTTAATCATTTAGTTGGCGTCAAAGAAATTCGAAATTTTATTTCTGATGACACCTTTTTAATTAAGGATAGTAATCAAGATAGTTATTCCATATATTTTGATAGTAAAAATAAAAAAATTGAGATGAACAATGATCATTCTTTTTTGGTCGAATGATACAAGTGATAGACCTAAAGAAATTAATTTGGAATTTGGAATTTGATGTTACTTTCGTTGTCACTCTTAAATATACTTAATTACATAATGAAGGTGTTATTGCATGACTATTATTTGTATGTGACTTTTGAAATATTTATAGTTTAGTCCCTATAATTATATGTTCAATTGAGTCCCTATTTGATATCTGATTAATCTGAAAAGTCGTATGTCACTAACAAAAGATTAATATTGAATATTGATAACCATAATTTGGGGTTTCACCTTATAATTTTCTGGTTATGGAAATGATTGATTTATCCTGATTAATTAGTTACGATTATCATGCATTTTTTTACAATGTTTTGAGACTTTAAATTATTTCTTAATATCCACTGACATGTAATGTATGATCTATGATTTATATTTTGAATGCTTCTGCATAGTGCGCATGATTTAGTGTTTTAATTATGTCAATATCAAAATATAATATAATCTTAGTTACCCGGGTATTTATTTGTGACCGGATATTGGGTGTTACATTTGGTGGTATTAGAGCGAGGTTATGAAAATTGATGATGATGTGTATATTTGTATGCCAATTAGGAAATGGGAACCACATTGCCACATTTGGTTTGAAAATTTTTCCAGGTATTGCCTTGATCACCAGTGCGCTTCTCACCTTGTTTGTTTAATTATATAGTGTTTAGCCTAGTTTACAATGGCATCGTGTCAGGCTATTTTGGGTGTTATCTAGAGTAAATGTCCTGCCACTGGAATAAATTCAATAGATATCGAGAATGGTGTCAATAGACCCCTACTTGTGACTCCACAACTGAACCTTCATGTTAATGTGTTGATTGAGGTGACTATCGATGCCATTATTTGAGTCATCCTTGAGGTTGAACCTACTTTTGTGACCGTGATAGCGGGTAGTGGTTTATTGTTAGAAAGTTAGAGGGCTCTAGGTGCCAACCAGTTCTGTACTGTTCGTCGAATCAAGCTAACAGTTGTAGATGACTGGTTTAAGAGTGTTGTGAGAATCTTGAATCATATGGGTTGTCTCGATGGAGAAAAGTTGGGTTGTGTTACATTTTTATTCTAAGGTAATGCATATCATTGGTGGAAGATGACGAATAGGAGAATCATTAATGATAGGTTGACTTGGTCATATTTTTAGAGGTGTTTAGCCTCAAGTTCTGGGTAAGCAATGTACCCATGCAAGGAAGAAGGAATTTCTTGATTTGGTTCAGGGACATATGTGAGTATATGAAAAGGGAGATTCGTGACTATCATGTTATTGGTTCTTTGGAGGTGTTTGATACTTTGGTGGATTAGGCTCGGGATGTTGAGAGTACCTTGGGTAGAGATCCAATTTTGGAGTGTTATGGGAAGAGACCAAGAGATGGTAGTTCTCAAAGTCTTTAGGTGAATAGAGGTAGAGGTTTTTATCATCAAGAGTCTCATTAGAGGTAGTCCGATAGGGTGACAGTTCCAGCGGGTGGTTGGCAGTAGTCTCCAATCCGTTTAACTTGTAAACAGGGGCACATGGGTAATTGTTGGCGTCTCACTAGATTTTGTTTTCGATGTGGATATTTGGGTCATTAGTTACAAGATTTTCAAAAAGAGTTGAGTTGTATAATGGTGCTCTTGCTCCTGCCAGAGGAGGTAGACGTGTTGGTGCTGGTGGTCTGATAGGTCAGGCTCGTGGTTGAGGCCATGCTCATTCTAATCCAGCTGAAACTAGTGGTCCTGCAGAGTGTATATGATTCGTGAGCCTAAAAATCATGTTCTGAAAGATGTGATCACATGTACTTTATGTTAGAATCTTTTTTGATTTTACGCATTCTTGTATCCATAATCATTTGGCGAGTCAGTTGAGTGTTCTTGTTAGTGTTAAGGACTTGGGTTTTGTAGTGACCAGGGTGTTAGGAGATAGTACACTTGTGGATTGAGTGTACCAGAGGTGTTATTTGGTTATTCAAGGTGAGGTGTTTCTATCGGATTTGAGGGATGCACTATTTAACGGGTTCGATGTTATTTTGGACACAGATTGACTACGTGAGCATCGTGTTCACTTAGATTTTGAGTTGTCGCATGCGATCTTGAAGACGTTGGATGGAATTGAGCTCGTGGTTATAGGTGAAAGGCCAAAGTTTCTTTCTAATTTGGTGTTGGTGTTAGATTCAAGTAATATATTTGACAATGGTTGTGAGGCGTTCTTAGCCTATGTTCTTAATTTGGGTGGCAGAGAGTTGAGTGTGCATCATATTCAGACGGTTGAGGATTTTCCTTATGTTTTCCCTGAAGAGCTTCCAGGTTTCCCACCAGATCGTGAGATAGAGTTTCATGTTGATACTTATACTAATTTAATTCTCGTGTCTATTTCTCCCTATCGTATGACACCTAAGGAGTTGAAAGAGTTGTAGGCACAATTGTAAGAGTTATTGGATCGAGGTTTTATTCATCTAACAATTTCTCCATGGGTTGCTCCATTTTTGTTTGTTCAGAAGAAGGATGATACGATGCACATGTGTATTGATTATCGTCAGTTGAACAAGTTGTCGATTAATAATCAATACCCTTTATAAAGGATCGCTGACTTGTTTAACCAGTTTTACGGTGCTAAGGTGTTTTCTAAGATTGTTTTGCATTCAGTGTATTATTAGTTTGAAGTTTAGTAAGTCGAATATGACGAAGATAACTTTCTGGATGCGTTATGGTCAGTATGAGTTCTTAGTGATGTCGTCTGGGTGAAATCACCATCCTTTCCATTGATTAAGAAACAAATAAATTCAGAAAATTATCTGACATCTAAAAAAAGGTGAAATTACACATTAGTTCAACTATTTATTAATAATAAATAAAAATGATGTATGTTATGATGAAATATAAAACAAAATAAAAAGGTTCAAAACTTAAATGCCATTTATATTTACAATTTTTATACATAAATTTAACATATAATTGGTTATAACCTGACTATCTAAGTTCTACAGTGGAGTCACCAAGTTTTCATAATGGTCCTTAAGCTTTTTAGGGCTAGGCATGGATCGATATAACTTAATTTTGAAATATCAAGTGCCTTATCTAGGAAGGAAGCACACAACCTGCAACAAGTGAATGGCTTCAAAGAGAAAGGCATGGCAGGTGGATGTCATGGTAAGAAAGGTGACTAGAATTTTAAGTAAGAAAAGAAATATATTGACCAAATACAAGGCTGTTTTGGATTATATATGGGTGTGTGTAGGCTTATGAATGAATGGGATGTTTAGGTGGTGAGTGGATGATGGTATCTTAAACAAAACTCAAGGAAAAACATATGATAAAAAGCACAAACCTGAACTTTATATTGTTTTTTAAGGGGTGGTAACAAGGAATCTGACTCACTATCTATATAGAGTTAGGAACCACAACTGTCAAGATGAAATGAATGAGATTAACGCCACAAGTATTACTATTGATAAGTCGACAAAGTTAAAAAAGGACTAATAAGAGGGAAAAATCTCACAAGTATATTTGATTGATCAAAGGATGATGTTTACAATGCCAAATGAATTGGCTATTTATAGGAAATGAAAAGGTAGGGTCAAATGGAAAGATAATGTTTCATCCAACCCTTTTTCTCCTTTAATAAATACATAAATTTTCAATTACAAAAAAGATGAACAATGGTAATAGTTCAACTAGAATGAAAGGTCATGTGATTTAGCCAAATAATCCTTGCAATGCTTTATTTTAGTGTCTAGATGCAGTGACACAACCATTGGTCAAATGGTTAGATCCCTCACTTGAACATGATGCTTAAAGGCATCACATGGTAAGCACTTAGTGTTTCCTTGCATATGATCTCTCCCTTGATGTCACATGCCTTCCACACCTAAGGTGTGGATGATATGTTCGGCCATAAGCATGCTTGGAACATGGTA